CATCATTGGGGCTGATGCCTCTTGCACTGATTATGTGCCCAAGATAATTAACTTGCGGTAAAAAGAAACAACACTTATTCAAATTTACGTGAACGTTATTCTCCTCTAAACAATTTAATACCAATTTAAGATTTTCCATGCATTCGGTAAAATTTTTCCCGCCAATGAGTGTATCATCAATGTACGATTTAACATTCACCAAGCCTTTCAGAATTTGATCAATCACTTGTTGAAAAATTGAAGGAGCACTACTCACTCCGTAACAAAGCCTTTGGAACTGAAATAAGCCCTTGTGAGTATTAATCGTTAAATATTTCTTAGATGCCTCAGATAAAGCCAACTGCTGATAAGCACCTTTTAGGTCTAAAACGCAAAATATTTTACAGCCTGGAAAGCTTGCCAAAATATCATCAATTCGCGGTAAAGGGTAGTGCTCAGTCTCCACTGGACAGGCATACCAAAAGTACCGCCTCATGACAGTATTCCAACGGCTGTCGCTTTCTTTTTCCTACGACAGCCTTGAGATTGAGCTATAAGCGACAGCCCACAGTGAGGCTGTTACACGACATGCAACGTTGCCGTCTTGTGCAGTACACGACAGCTCGTTCTTAGTCATGTATTTTGTTCGTTCGGCTATGACAGCCTCGGATGGTCATTCGTAACGTTCCTCGTACATACAACAAGCAGTCCGTCAAACTACCGATTCGTTGCTGCTGGATTTGAAATTTTGTTTGTATGTCGTAAGACTGCTACTACACTGCCAGTGTGGCGCCGGAGCTCGTTCGGTTGCTATCACGTTCGTGCTGCCCATTGCAAAATTTTCATCCGATATTTTTTTTAAAACGCGTGGTCTCCGGCGAAAAATATAAGCCTACCCGACATCAACCTGACTTCTACCAAACCCCAACCCGATGTTGGCCCGACATTGACCCGACATAAACACATAATTGACCCGACATCGACCCGACATTTGGCCGACGTCGACCGTAAATTGACCTTACATTGATCCGACATCGAGCCGACATATCTGTTCGGGATCATTCTTCTGGGTTTCTTCCATACTCTACTGCCGTATATCAATTGTATATAATGTCTCGTGACAGCCTTTTCGTGACAGCCACTTGGGTAAGCTGAGGGATGTCGTCGGTTTGTGAAGGCTGTTATGACGACAGAAACATTAGGTTCTCAATAAAGAAAGAAATGTATAAATACAGCCCATTCGGTTCACTACGTTCCAAGCACGATTATTTTAGCAAAGCGGGTATAGATGCGACTGTTCTAATACAGCTTTCATTCGTTGCCAATACACTTCGAATTCAGATCTGAACGTACGGTAGCAAGCGGTAGTAAAGCACACAAAGCAACAGTCAAGTCAGGTATAAACCAACTGTCGCGAGGAGGCTGTACTTTTTGGAAGCCTGGTCTCCACAAATTCGTTAATCGTCCTTTTACAATCAACACAAACTCGAATAGACTTACCATCTGATTTTGGAACGGCTACGATCGGACTTGCATATCTGCTATGTTTCACTGATTTCAAAATACCACTGTTCACCATTTTTGTTAGTTCTTCTTCTACCGGTCCTCGCATTTTGAACGGAAGTTCGTATGCCTTATGAAATACAGGTGTATGCTCTTTCAAATGAATGTCCACTTCAAATTTTTCGATCGATGTACTGCTGTCGTCACTAAATACTCGCGGGTAGCATTCTTGCAATGTTTTAGAAGAAATCATTTTTGTTTTCTACCACATATTTCTCGGTAAATTAATCTAGCCTTCGCTTACACACTGTCTTGCTTTTTTCACCTGCAATGCCTTCAATCACTTTCCCATTTTCCACATTATGTACATAACCTTGCCCTTCATCTAAAATTCTACTTTTCCATCCAGGGTACAAGATATTTAGCCACGTGCGTCCCAGAAGTGCTTTGAATTTAAATTCTGACCGTACTACACTAATTTGTAATTTAAAAACCGTGTCACTATTAGGTACGCTGACTCTGAATTCTCCCACTCCTATCGGCTTAAATTTCTGACCGGTAATCACTTGAAATGACTTTGATTCTTGATTTAAATACACGTGATTAAATTTCTCAAGGTACTCTTCTTCACCTATAATCGATTTACAAGCACCAGTATCAACTTCCATTAGAATCTCCTTACCTTCAACATTTGCTGGTATTAGTAACGGATCATTACCTTCCGCTACCCAACTGATCACATCTACATTTTCATCATCGTATTCATCTCCATCGCTTTCATCGACCAAATGAACATTTCTGGTCTTACAATGGCTCGCAAAGTGACCCTTGATTCGACATTTAAAGCAGACTACGCTGACAGCAGGACACTGGTTGATCGGATGGCTTGATCTACCACACCGACTACACATCTTCACCTTTCGCTCTTCGTTTGTTTGCTTCCCACTTACACTGCCACGCATTTTTGATACTTTCATCCACCCATTTGACTGCTTCGATACCACGTGATTCAAACTGTTTACACGTGTTAACTTTGATTCTTCGGAATTCGCCAACTCCATTCCAACAGCTATTTTATACGCTTGATCAAGATTCATGTCCTCTGACAACAACCGCCTTCGTATTTTCGAATCCTGAATACCGATTATAAACGCGTCACGAAGTGCATCTGGTAGAAAAGCTCCAAAATTGCACGATTGGGCCAAATGCTTTAATGCTACGGTATATTCTACTATTGGCTCGTTCACTTTCTGCTTTCTGGTATACATTTTATACCTTTCTGCGGCCACAATCACCATTGGTTTGAACTGATTGTTTAGTTTAGACACAATCTCATCGAAACTTTTTCCACATGGGTCTTCCGGACTAAACAACGAATCGAGTATTTGAAACGTTTCACTTCCCATGACTGTAATAAGCACTGCTGCCTTTAGTTCATCCGAAATCCCATTTGCAACAAAGTACATCTTTAACCGTTTGATGTACACCTCGAAATCATCACCAGGTACAAATGGATCCATTCGTCCTACAGACGCCATCTTTGACATCACTACAATATTCTTGTTTTCCTCTTATACTGACATGTTTCACTCACTCAATAGACGCGACCGTTATTGTTCTCCTCGTCGCCAGAAACTGTTATGTCTTTCAAATGTATAAATACTCACAAACACACGAGGTTCTTCTTTTGGTATTTATTAGTCAACGGTTCGGACATCAAAGGGACTTACAATAGGGTGCTTAGGGGTTATATACATACTTGACCGGATGTTCATTCTTGTTCTCCTGAGAACTACCGACTGTTTATATAAATTGTGTTCACTTACAATACTTCAATATAATCTACATGAAATGGTATTTTGTCAAGATACAATAGGGTATGTTATATTACAGTAATGTCGGCCTAAATGCCCCTAATTTGGGCCCATACATAAAATCAGCAATCGACTAAATTTTCAATAACGTCATGGGCCCAATCTTAGATCCATAGGCCAACATTAGAACGATTTCCCCTACATGCTAGCCTGCAGCTAAAATTGATTGTTGGGAAGTTTACACGCATGGATGTTTACATCACCGGGCCTCCTTTAGCTCAGTCGGTAATGGCACAGCTACAAAGCAAGACCATACTGGAGGTGACTGGGTTCGATTTCCAGTCCGGTTTAGGGGAGGAGTGGGGGAATTTGGAATTTTTCGGGTTGCATATTTCTTGACTTCCTTGGGCATAGAGTATGATTGTACTTGCCATACAATTATACTAATACAAAAATGGTACAGCCGTCAATTAATAACTGAGGAAGTGCATTTAGTAGAACACTAGGTTGAGAGCACGCTACAAGCTAATATAAGCAATAAGCTTGAAATGCAAAGTAGAAGATGCTGTTTACATCACCAGTAATATTCAGATTTTGTGTGTGTGTATATGAGCGCCATTTAATTGCGATTTTAGATATTCAAACTAACAGGGTTCTACGGTACTATGAAACTTTCCTCTAATCTCCTATGTCTGTCTATGACAAACAATCACGTTAACTCAGCTGGACACCCACACGTAACGCATCGGTACCACCTGTGCTGTGAAAGACGATAATGCTGTCGTGTAATTGACAGTTGGAAAAACATACATAATAATGGTCCAGCATTTTATTTAAACACAGCGTCACTGGGATTAGGGTCAACGACCTGTCCTGGAATTGACAACCAATGAAGTAAATGTTAATCTGCTTTACAGGGCGAGCATAATTTGCTGTGAATTATTGAGCTCTTCTAAATAACTACACATTTTTATTGATGTAATATGATTTTATTGTGTAAACAAGCTACATAATTAAACACATAATTTCTCACCATTATTAGTTTAACTGTTAACCTTAATGCGATGAACAAGCATTGTTGCATCCACCACTGTTTAGTATTTATTTATTCCTATAATTTCAACCATACCAATTTATATATTTTCCCGTATCCTCCCTCAACACATTAAAGCTGGATCATTCAAGCTGTTTAGATTATTCACCAACCCAAACAAGAACGTCCTCTGCAAAAGGACTTCGCCGAATTCCCTCTCGTTTCACCCAGCGGAACAACTAATTTATTAGGCATACAATACACATCCGAAGCAAATAGAAGCCCAGATCCTACTATCCAACCGAGTGAGACGATGATGACCACCCGTCAAAAGCCACTTGACAAAACTTCCAGCGGCAATAATATGCTATCATCCAACAACGCTTCGCTTGTTTCGCTTCCGGTCTCTGTCGGTTTTTTCCGTATCATCCGGAGAAAAACAGTGAAAACCTGGAATAACCGCTGCTCAATTGTCTTCTCAAAGCGCGGAGAACAACCATCATCGCCACCGTTGTCGTCAACGATTCCATCTTCCGTTTCGTTCTTCAGACGGCGATTGGTATCAAAACTTTATCGATGAAAACTAAAACGAAAAATAAGAATTTTTGAATTGAACGTTTCAAAAGAAACTGAATTTTCCTTTACCGCAGCCAAACTGCCCCTTACATAGTTTACTCGGAAGAACCAGATGTAGAAGCAGCACTTGATGCGGTTCTTCGATGGCGCTTCTTGGATCTCTTGTCGCGGCCACCCCCACCACCACTTTTCTCATGAATAATTTCGAATTCACTTGAATCGTTTACATCGCTACCATCGTGGTCCTGTTGGCGTCCGTTGGCCTTGTCAACTGTGCCATCATTATTATCGTGGTCGTCATCATCGTGATCCTCCTCCATGCTATCGTTGCTTAAGACGTTATCTTCGGCCAACTTTTTACCATGCTTGCGGTTTTTTCCTCCACTTCGACGATGCCCAACGTCGGCGTTACGATGATGCTGTTTTCTGTGGAATAAAGAAACGGTAGAATACAGAAGAGGGGTGCTGATGGTAAAGTTATTTGTTGTAGATAAAGTTTCACATAGAATCTTCAGATTTGTTTTGTGCGGAGCAAGGATATAATAATACAGACTGGTAGTGGTGACTGGTCAATCTAAAGCAGCGTGATACGGGACCTCAAAGCATGCAAAAAATTGTTCTACACTATACCTCAATTCTTGCCTATAACGGAAATATTTATGTTTCAATGTTTGTGACCACTTTGACTATAAACCGCCCTAGTGACAATTAGCGATCTAGAACAAATTATCAAAGTTTTCTTGAAGCATGAGCAGCATGCACGGACATGGATTTTCATTGGAGTACAACACAATCAAAAAAAGTGTTGTTTATGCCAACTATATTTCAAAATGAAATGAGGGGGGATTTTGCGTAGCGGATAAAATTTCATATCTTTTTCTGTGTACAGTAACGGTTCGATATTAGCGTGGTTCGATTTTGGCAACAAACTGTTCACTTTTGGCACAATTCAATGGACCGCGTCAAAATCGAAAGATTATAAAAAATAATAAGATTTACATATCTTTACTAATTGAGCACACTGTTTGGGCTTTGATTGAATCTCATAGAGCTTTTATTTTGCTTTTATTCATCAATTTTACTTTTCCATCGTAATAAATGCAACATGTCCGCATGTCCCTTCCCTACCCCGCATAAAATAAACTTTCAAGGAAAGTGTGGAGTACTTCTTGGGGAATTTGGAGGACAGTCCCAGAAGAAGTAGTAATAATCTCCCGAGGGAAGATTTCCGTGAAAAGTCAACTACAACTTCCTGAAAAGACAATTACAGGGGAAGCCAGAAAAACCTCGGAAGAATCTTCCATTATAAGTTGGGATAAACCTTCGGGTAAGTCTGGAGAAACTTTCAGAGGAAGCCGAAAGCAACTTTTGGGAGAACTTAAAATAAAATTCCAATGGAAGCTGAAAAAGGTTCCTGGAGAAGACGGAAACTAGAAGACACCTCCTGAGATATTTCGATGGAATGTTTTGTAAGCCAGGAGTGTTTTGTGGCAGTTATAACAAAGTTCAAGGGGGTGCCAGAAGAATCTTCCGGAAGGATGTCAGAAGACAATACTGTCTGACGATACCTAAAAGAGCTTTGTTAAATGCTGAAAGATTCTTCAGGGAGAAATATGCCAAAAGTTTGTAGAACCGACAGAGGAACATTAAAAGAAACCTATCCAGAGAAAACGTAAGAATTTCCGGATTAAATCAGAAAACATTCAATCGATGCCGAACAATATTTTCAGGAGAAACCAGAAAGAATCTATGGAAGCAATGGGAAAGAAAATTTGTGGAAACAATTGAAAAAAAAAACTTTCGATAGTTGCTGGAAAAGATTCCAGGAAAAACAGGAGCATCTTCCAGGCAATTTAAGAAGGAAATTCCGAGGGGCAGTCAATAAAACATCACAAAGATATTGATGCAATGTAGCATAAATCACTTGGTACACATTTATTTACGAACGGATAACGTTTCGGACATTACCATCCATTGACGCCAATCTAATGTGCAGGAAGGCAGCAGAAACATCCCACCGACCTCAACTGGGATCGAACTCAGTTCAATTGGGGTGAGAAAGCAGTCCGAAAGTGACAACCCAATATTTTTGGCTGGAGCGAAACTTCGTATTTGAACATGGGACTACGCAAATGTGTGTGTTATAAACGTCAGGTGAACGTGTTATACACCTTTCTGAACATGACACAAGAGGAGGGAAAAATACCGTGCAAGCACCAAATTTCACACAATGTTTACTTCTGCACAAAAAATTATTTTTGTTTATTTTTCAACAATACTTTTTAAATGTTACCACTTTAAATATAACTTCACGTGCATTTGAGCTGTAAGTACATGGATCATTTTGAAAATATCTCATAATATGTTGATGCTCTCTAAACACTTGAGTGCACAATCATTATGAACAACGTAGAGAATTTTCTGAGGCATAAAATCTCTGATCACGCCTTGTTTCGGAGGAAAGTAAAGCTGTTGGTCCCTGGTCCCTGGTTGATGGATCGGTGATAGGTAGGGTTCAGGTGTGTGGGATCTGCCTTACTGGCGTCGGTAGCATTGGTACTCACGACGGAAAACAAGATCGACGGGAAACAAATCAAGGGAAAAAATCTTTTTGAGATCCGAAATGTGCTAGAATTAAAATCTCGATGTTTTATAGACTCAATGTGGTTTGATAAGCACGTCCCAACATATAAGTCTTAATGAGTTCATGAACCTCAAGAGATCCTCTTGACAACAAGCACATCATGGAATGATGTAATTAAGATATGTTTTACTCTCCAAAGTAATCTGGATTTAAGATCATGAAGACCTATAGGTTCAATGATGTCTTGAGCAATTTCCTGAAAATTTGTAAGAGTTCGGGTTGCTAAAAAAGCCTTATGACAACATATACATCATAAAATGAGTGCTTTTGTGGAGTCAAGATCTTCAAGTTCTACAGGCTCAATTAGGCATTGAACTATGTCCTGAGAATATGTATTAGTCCGTGAGGCTCAAGGAAGCCTCTTAACAACATGCACATCATAGTATAGTGTCAACAAGATATTTAATGCTTTCCAAACTATTCTGGAGCTAAGATCATGAAGTTCTGCAGACCCAATGAAGTCTATAACAATGTCGTAAAAATCAGTATGAGTGCAAGAAATTCATGAGATCCTTTTGACAATATCTATAGACATCATCGAATGGTTTCAGTAACATTCTCCAAACTATTCTCCGACTATGGTCTTGGAGTACTACATGCTCAATGAAAGTCTTGAACAATGTCCTGAAATTGTTTATGACTTTGTGATTATCAAGAAAGCCTCTTGACAACATGACCATCATGATAATGCTTTCCAAACTATTCTGGAGCTATGATCGTGAAGTTCTACAGGCTCAATGAAAATCTTGAACAATTTCGTTAGAATCTGTATGAGTCTGTGAAGTTCAAGAGAGCCTTTTGACCGCACACACACATCGTCGAATGGTTTCAATATGATATTTAATGCTCTTCAAACTATTCTCGGGTTTAGATCAGGAAGTTCTGCAGGCACAATGAAGTCTTGAACAATGAAGGTAGTAAGGAAGTGGATTTGTTATTTATATGATACAAATTCATTATACCTTATTATTATGTCCACAGATAAACAGGCATAACCCTCGCATGTTGTTCATAGGATACGCAGTTAACGATATATATTTTTCTTAGTTGATAGTACCGTCGCCTGCGTGCATGTAGTCAATTCTCTCGCATTTAACGTTTACAAACTACCACCGTTGGGAGTACTGCCCGTGACAGTAAAATCAACAGATGACAGTAGTGTTTTGGTGACGATGTTTTTTCAGTGATAAATATTCAATTTGTTATGTCTTTTTGTGTGTGCTACGACAGTCGTTTACACAAACCAACATTGTTTACATATTTTTTGGATGGTTTTTTATGTGAAGCAATTGTAATAAACATCACTTTTGTATACAGAAACCATTTTTTTGGTTAATTAATTTATTTGTACAGGCTCAGTCGAATAAACTTTACAAAGCCAAATTATCATTTCCGTTATACATTATTAATGTCTTAAATCTAAAGTTAAAATAATTCAACCGAATACGCGCGGTCTTCTCGAGGTTAGTGGATGACAATTTTATGGACGTGGAGAGGGAGAAATACAGAAAACAAAAAAAATTCCTTGATTTGTTTTCCGTCGATCTTGTTTTCCGTGCTGAGCACCAATGCTACCGATGCCAGGAGGCAGCTCCCACACCTGGTCCTATCCTATACCTATCGACCCATCAACTCATGAACCGGGGACCAACGGCTTTACTTCCCTTCCGAAGGCAAGGTTTCAAATACTAATTTCAGCTAAAATAATGTTTTTCGGAATAATAAAACCAAAAGATGGTATGATGACATGTTTTACTTGTAACTTACAAAAAGAGGTTGCACAGTATGCGTTTGAAACATAAAACCTGTAAATTTTGCTTTCTATGAGTCACAATCAACGATTTGCTGATCGCTGAGTGAGAGAGTGATTGAGTGAGTGAGTGTGTAAAAAATCGCTGATTGTGACTCTCATGAAGTGAAATAAACAAGTTTAATATGTCAAATACATTCTTTGCAACCTCTTCTTGTACTTACCAATTCAAAATATGATCCCCAAAATATGATAGCATCTAATTATTTCATAATTTAAAAAAAAAACATTGTTTTAGCTGAAATGAGTATTTGCAACCTTGTCCGAAGGAAGGCGTCATCAGAGATGTTATGCCTCAGAACATCCCAGCGGCGCCAACTGGGATTGAACCCAGGTCTGCTGGGGTGAGAGGTAATCACGCTTACCACTACACCGGCGCCGTTCAAATACAGAAACCATGTTAATAACAGTATTCATTAATTATTTTTTCCTGCTCATTAAGACAACCATATGTCAGATGAATAATTGAAGCAATAAATAAATAAATAAATAAATAAATAAATAAATAAATAAATAAACTAAATAAATAAATAAATAAATAAATGGTATGGTATTGAAATTGTATTGTGGGAACATTTTTTTGGTATTATTTTCCGGTATTTTACCTCTTATGTCAGAATAATCCATACCAATTTAAGGTACTGATAAAACCAATAGCAATAGCAGAGTACTTTCGATTTCCTATTTTTAATATCAAAATTTGCTATTGGTTATATCTGTTGTTCTACTCGGGATGGCTGACTTCTTTCAATGCCCAAGTGTTAGTGAAACCCAAAATGAGACGGTCAAGTATAAGTTCATGTACTTACTCTCTTGAACTGGACATTCATCGATTTACGCGATATTTCATGCAAAATTTACATGAAATTACATCGTTCAAAAATACGTTACATCAAGCTAAATTCCTCAAACTATACACACCAAAAAATAATGAATTTTAATGGTGATGTAAATATCCATGCATGCTAAAATTGAAGCATGTAAACTTCCTTTTTACGTAAACTAGCAACTTGCAAGAAATATTGCTTGCAAAGATGGATGTTTGTATACAATATTTAGAATATTTCATGAAATGACTTATAAATTTACACGATCTATAATGTGAATTTGTATGGTATGTGACGCTCTATTTATGTACATCATAGTGACAGAAATTTACACTACTTTTTCGAACTGTGTATGATTTCTTTTAACGGTGTTGAAAATACCATTCCACAGGCAACTGATGGCTTAAATTCACCATTCTTCAACACCTACTACCAAAGCTACTTCTTCCTATTCTGCTTCTGCAAATCATCAAAAATTAATAATCATGACTTAACTCATAAAACACGCATAGACTGTAACGACCACCCGTTTATTACACCATTAGTTTAATGCAACACCCTTATCTAATTTTCTGGTCGATATGCATACCTGTTACCGCTTCTACTGGAGTCCTTACGATTACGCGGCCGCTTCCGTTCATCTGCAACCTCCTCCAAGCCGTCATCATCCACTTCATAATCCTGGCTGGTCATTAACTTTCTCGGTTTTCCTTTTTTTCCACTTTGCTTCAAGCCCATCTCAACGGTCACCTCATCCTCGAGCCCAGAAGCAGCAGTAGCGCGTTTTCCTGCTTTTTTCCGCAAATGTTTCTGCTCGGCCGTCGTCTGACTGCTGGCCGTTGAATAGCCGGTGTCCTTACGCGTTTTCGAAGACAAGCTAGGGCCGCCGATACAATGAAACCACATCCCGGTGACAATAGCGCACGAAACCCAACCGGGAACATCGTGGGAATGTAATGAAAAGAAGAACGGTCCTATCATTGTCTAGCTGTTTAATAAAGCTTTGCTTTATCTAAGAAATGGTAATGCGAATGGAGGGTGGCAACGGCGAAAATCGTAACAATGGTAATTGAGGGGTATTATGTAAGAAAATTCTTACCGAAACCTGTGAGCGCGGGAAAGACTGCTGTCGACAGGGATGCCAATTATTTTTTTTGCAAAATGTCTGTACGGATGCTTATAAAATGTTTGTATGTCTGTATCAGGAATTTTGGACAGTGTAAACTTTTGTAATTAGGAAATTTCAACGAAAAGTATTTTAACAGGTTTTAGAAGTTCTGTGTACCTCCTTGAGCATATCAAATTTTTCATCATTTTCAGATCTTTTACGAAGTGTCCACTACTTCGAAGAGATTCCCTACATTTGTAAGAGGTTTCCTGAATTTCTTCTATAATTGTGAAAACAAAATTGTATGTCCTGGAAATTTGTTAATCCGTTGGCTACCAGGCTATTTAAAAAATCCATAATGCTGCTAACGGAGTATTACTTGACGTTTTTTGACTATCGTAAAAATTCAATTTTGTTTTTATACGATTTTTTTCACCTTTTGCTTTGATCCTGTGATCTCAATTTTCAACCAAATATAATGTATTTTGTTTCAAAAAATCACAAAAAATAAATAAATGCTACAATTCTGCATGAGGGCCAAATCATAAAATTGAAAATCGTGTAAAAACAGAATTTACTGTATATTGCTCCACATATTCCAAAGAATTTTCAGCATTTCCTAATCATTTTTAAAATACTACAAATTTATTTGAAGAACCCTCAACTACTCTATGGTTGACTTGAGCTTTTCTAAAATTACTATAAGCTTTGTCTTTGAAGAGACTTTATGAGGTTCTAGAACTTTTCTGAAGTTCTCCCAAAATTCTCTGAGGTGTTCCCCGCGTCTTTTTAATATTCCTCTAACTGCATTAAATTCCTTGATTTTCTTTAAAGTTTGCTGAATTTCTCTGAAGCCCATTGATATTTTTTAAGTACATAAATTCAGGTAATGACAGCTCTGCAGTTCACTAAACTCTCTTGAAACACTGAATACGGCAGCCTGTGCTCACCGCAATAAATCGAACAAAAGTGTGTCTTGATGCAAGAGAATGCATCGTAATGAATTAAAAGTGAAAGTATCCAAAACATTCATATGCGTAAATAAGGGGGTGCCGAGGTGGGGTCTGCCCACCCCCAGATCTAGAGCTGGCCATCCCAGAGAATTTATTAAATAAATACCGGTGCAATCTATTTTTACATTGCATGGAAGAGTTTCGATATTTTTCCAGGTTATCTTGAATAAACTTTTCTGTGACTTTGAATTTCTTAATTAATTGCCTATTCATGGTTGATGATTGGTCTTAATCTTTTATTCACATATTTGCTACAAGCATACGGCTCATATAAAGGTTAGACCTCTTAGTTCGTTTTGAAGATATGTCTTAATTTTCAAAACTTTTGAAATTCTGTGAAGAAGTGATTCTGATCTTTAGAATGATACCATTTCATTTTCCATGACTTTGAAAAACATCCAAAGAACTTTATTGAAATCATATTGAAAATCGAAGTTTCCTGTACTCCTACAAAGTTTCTTGAATTCAATTTAATAAATTCAAATAAAACTCCCTAGCCACTATGAAGTTCACTAAATGTGTGCAAAGTTGTACGAATTGCTGGAAAGTTGCGTAGACTTCTACGAAGTTTTCTGAACGTATACGATTTGTTAATGTGTTTGTGTAAGCAAAGTACAACTCAATTTTTACCAATATTGCTGAACTTGTAAATATTTCTTATGTGTCATTCACAGTTCCCGGAAATTTGACCAAGATCTCAGAAGATCATGTTGAATTTCTAGAATATTCCCACCTATAAAACTTCCTGAAGTCCACGAAATGCTAGAAACTGCAGCCGAGCTTCTATGAAGTTCCCTAACTTGAACATAATTCCTTGCGCTTCAAAGAAGTTCAAGTTAACTAAAGTCTGGTCCTCTAAGAAGTCGCACAATTTATTTATTCAATAGCAGCGCCTCTAGTGGTTCGATTTGGAATGTTTTGACAGCGATTTGCGTTGAATGGACACAAGTACAGGTTGCGGGGTTTCCGGCGTGGGTGTGCAGGATCAATTATCTTTTTCGTCTTCCATCTAGTACAAGTTTTTAATACTGCACGTATCGAGAAGAAACTTTCATCACTGAAACACGTGCACTTTCAAAACGAATCGCTGTTAAAACATTCAAAATCCGACCACTAGAGGCGGTGCTAAAGAATAAATAAAATGTCTGGATTCCAAGTTAGCACACTTTACTATCAATTCTCTGTCTTTCTGTGAAGCTTTCCAAACTTTTAAGAATTTCAATTGTTTGTTCACTGAAGTTCCCTGAAAATTGTATTCAATTCCCTATACTATTATAAATTATTTTTTTCAAAAGTGCTCAAAACAAATGAA